TGTGTGTGTGTGTGTGTGTGTGTGTGTGTGTGTGTGTGTGTGTACGTTACAGAATACAGAAAAGGTGCCATTTTAAACTATTTTATTCAGATTTTAAAAGTTTATGTCCTTGTAGTCTCTATTACAACCAACATGCTGATTTTTATTATATTTTTAAGATAATATATAAAGTAATGGATTTAATTACAGCATGTTTATGTATACTTTATTCTTACTTGTTCCCCTCCCTCACTACTATCCCCCATCCATCTTTCTAGCCAATAGTTTTTCCTTCTACTTTCATATCACACATATTCTATTACTTTTTAATGAAAATGTGTTATATTTTGAAGATTTAAGCCATGAGTACTGTACATACATCATTTCCATCTCACTCTCAAATTCATGAATTCTCTCTTCTTGGATTATTATTGTCATATATATATATATATATATACACACACACATATGTATGTGTGAATAGACACAATCGCTTTAGTTCATTTAGTGTTGCTCATATGTACATGTGTTTAAGGCCAAGTAGTTGGGGTTAGATGACCTATCAGGGCTCATCCCTGGAGAAGCTGATTTTGCTCTCTAAGCAACAATAAATTGCCTCTAGCTACTCATCTACAGGTGGGACCTTGTGAAACTTCCCTTATCCATGTTGACATGTCAAGTGATGTTTTGTTATTAGGTCTTGTTTATGCAACCATATTGCTATGGTCTCCTTTATAGTTTAATTTTCTAATTGCCTCCATATATATATGTATATATGTATACATGTATATATACGTGTATGTGTTACAGAATACAGAAAAGACATCATTTTAAACTATTTTACTCAGATTTTTAAAGTTTATGTCCTTGTATACACGTATATATACATGCATACATACAAATCAAAGTCTAGGTTCTTTAAGAGTAAAATGAAGTATTTGTCTTTCTGAATCTGCATTGTTTTACTAAGAGAAGGATTTCCACTTGTACCCATTTTTCCTGTAGGTGCTATCATTTCTTTTTTCTTTATGCTGCATAATATTCCTTTTGTGTATAAGCCCTACATTTTCATTGTCCATTCTTCTGTTGATAGACATCTAGGCTGGTTCTATTTCTTAGTTACTGTGTGTACTGCCGCATTAAACACGAATGTGCAATTACTCTGGTAGGAATTATCGTCCTTTTGGTATATACTCAGATATAGAATATTTTTACAAAGTTACTTTGTAGTTCTAAGTAGTATCAATGCCATCCCCTATTCCCAATCAGTTACTGATCTCCATCATATTTGTGTAAATTACTTTTTTGCTTTCTAATATTTCTTATCAGTTGAATATATTATATCTGGTCATATCTTGGAGATAACATGAGTTTCGTTCCAGATTTCCTCAATAAATCAAATATTAAAAAGTACCAGGAATGGAAAAAACAAAACAAAACAAAAGAGCCAGGAATGAAACAAAACAAAAAAAGAACCAGGAATGAAATGATAAGAAGTAAAGGAAAGAGTGGGACAGATAAAACAAGGATGCTTGGAAGGATACAGTAGGCTTTAAAAATAATTGCAGAGCCGGGCGGTGGTGCCGCACGCCTTTAATCCCAGCACTCGGGAGGCAGAGCCAGTCAGATCTCTGTGAGTTCAAGGCCAACCTGGGCTACCAAGTGAGTTCCAGGACAGGCGCAAAGCTACACAGGGAAACTCTGTCTCGAAAAAATGGAAAAAAAATAAAATTAAATTAAATTAAAAAAAATAAAAATTAAAAAAATAAAAATTGTGCACTTGGCTAAGAAACCCACTCGTGTCTGCTTAGCCCTCTGTCTGTGTGGGATATAGGAATGGCTGCTGAAGCGCTCAGAAATCGGCCCTTACCTGGTAGGAAATGTAGAAGTAAAATTCTTCCTTGCTTATTTGTCAGCGTGACCTCAGACAAGTCTTAATCGTTACCTTTCTTCTAATTGCAAAGTAGAATTAAGAGGAAAATGTATTCACTGTTATAAATAAAATATGGATTTGAATAAAACACATAAATATAGATAAAAATGTTATGTGAAAGTACTATGTGTATGGCAGAGCTCCAGCTAAATTTCTAGTGACACTGGTATTGATGACCTCAGTCAGCCTTCAAAGC